AAAAACAAGCCCTATGAGGAAAGGCTTAAAGGACTTGGCATGTTTAGCATTGAGAAAGAAAGACTATGGGGAAATATGACAGCACTTTTCAAATGATTGAAAAATAGTCATATAGAGGAAGGCCAAGATCTGTTGTTGATCATCCCAGAATGCAGAGCACGTAATAATGGGTTCAAGTTACAGGAAGCCAGATCTAGGCTAAGTATCAGGAAAAACTTCCTAACTGTTAGAGCAGTACAACAATAGGACCAATTATCTCAGGACGTGGTGAGAGGTCCAATGCTGGAGGCATTCAAGAGACGTTTAGACAACCACCTGGCTGGTCTCCTCCACTGAGCAGGGATTTGGACCCAATGGCCTTATAGGCCCCTTTCAACTCAATTCATCTATGATTCTATAATTCTTCAGTTTAGGGGTGGACTAAATGTGGCCACCTAGCATCTCCAAACCACCAAACCACATCAAAACATGTCTGTTTCTATTTTCTATCAGAACAGGTCTTGATGCCTTCTGGGGGTGTGTGTGTGAAGGGGGCAGTTTTGTCATGTTTGGGGTACACTGAGTGTTTTAAGGTAGAGCGGGGAGAGAGTTTCAAAACGTCCAGCTTGAAAAAAGATCCTGGGCCTAAGACATTTCAGGAGGGGCCCAAAATGGTGAACTGCTTCCCCTTCCTTGTAGAGAAACTAATTTTTTTTCATGGCAAGAACAGAGGTAGCCTCCTAAGGTCCATGTGGACACGTGCAGCCTTTGGACATCTTGAAGTTGGGCTCTCTTGCTTTAGCACACTGACAAAATTACGTGGGGGGAGGAAAACATGTTGTAGCAACATAAAGACAAACAAATTTTGTTTCCTTGTGAGTTTTACTACTTTATTCCTGCTTTGCTCATTGTGAAGAAAGCTGTTTCCTGAGGATGAACGTAGGTCTGAGGTGAAGAATGGGCTATTCCTGGTTCCCCCCTGGGAGCTTTACTACCTAAATCTATGCGGGGAAACAAAGTGATATTTCTCATGTTTAGAACAGTGAACTTGCTGATTATAGCAAAGCACCCAACATCCTACCAGTAGGTCCTCCTGATCTAACGTCTACGTTCCCTATACCTCCTCTCCTGTAACTATCCCACACCTGCAAAGACTTGATACACGTTGAGCACAGGGCATGATAAATGGCACCCATAAGCCGTGCTTTTGTGGTATGTGAATTTTATTATATAATATACAGCAGTGAGAGGGTAAAAAGTTGGCATAGAAACCTGGCAGCTGAAGGAAGAGCACATCATTATCCGTAGATTCCTGGCTTCAGTTACATCATAACAGGGGTTTACACAAGAAGATAAAAAGGACCCTGATAATTTTTTTAAAAAAATTGCAAGTTAAAACATGTTTCCCCAACTCTCCCCTACAAGAACAGCTTCGAATCATTTCCAATCCAAGACTTTTCCAACCGCAACCTGAATTGGGGGGTTGCCATTTCCCCTCAAGAGTAACCAGTCATCTGTTGCAATTTTTTTTTACAAAGAGGGAATTCCATGCCAATCATCCCCAGAATTTGGAAAAAATGGGCTAAACTTCTCTCAGTCTCTAGTATAAGGGTTCCCAAACTTTGGGTCTCCAGATGTTTGGGGGTTAAACCTCCCAGGAGTCTTTATCACTAGCTGTACAGGCCAGGATTTCTGGGAGTTGTAGTCCACGAACATCTGAGCACCCACAGCTCTAATGGATAGAGGACGTTGTAGTCTAAAAAAGTAATTTTGACAAGCTCGGAGGAGTTTCTTAGAACTGTGGGTCCTCTATGAGACAGCAATGCATTCCAAATTCCACTGACTGATCGCTTAGATAGCCCTTAGGATTGGACCAAAGCTGTTCCCGTCGTAAATCCACCCTTAATCTCTACTCCAGAAAAGGGTGGGCCAACAGGCATGATTGTCCCTCCCTTCCTGCAGTGAAACCATTTTGGATCCTTCCTCTCTACCCACTAAAATGGAGAAGGAAAGGTAACATATCCCAAATAATTTTTGCCATAAAACAGTATTTCTCCTTCCCATCTAAATAAAGGGCACAAGGGAGTGGGGAACATGTGGCCTTCCAGATGATGGACTATGATTCCTACCAGCCAACGTAGCCAGTGGAAAGGAATGAGGGAGGATGCGGACCAGCATCTGGAGGGCTGCATGCTGCCCCCCCCATCCCTGCTTTATAGCTCATCATCACCTATACAGTATTCAATTCAGGGCTTTACCCTTCCACACACTGGGCAGGATAGTGAAGGAAGATTTAGAGCAGAGGTGCGGCTACTTTCAGGGCTGCCTCCTGCTACGTGACATCATCAGCTTGGGTCATGCATATGGCTTAAGGCACTGCCTCCTGTCTGAGTTGCTGGCATTGTGGGCAGGTGTGACTTAAAATAGCATGTGATGTACTGGTGATTTATTATTGGATGCTCTTGCTGTGACCGCGGGATTGCTCCTGAGTAAAGTAGGAGGAACACAGAAATCCTGCTTCCCCCCTTGCTTGTTTTTGCATGTGGCTCTTAGTTAAAAGTGTGGCTTTGGCAATGATGTTCCTGGCCCCTAAGGCACAAGTCTGTCTTGTTCATGGCGGTGGGGGTGGCTCAAGCAAAGGCTTGGAGACCCATGGGCACACCTCCTTTCCCATGCTGGCCATAGGTATGGCTTGGCACCAAGGCTGGAGGGGAGCAGTGTCAGCATTCACATACTCTCTGGCAAAGCCTCTCTGCATGGGCAATGCTCTTCTTTTTATTTAATTTTTTGCAGCCTCTCCTGTGTGGGCAACACTCCTGGTTTGGTTTTTGCAAGTTAAGAACAGAGCTTCTCTTGGTGTGCAATTTTTTTAAAAAAAAACACACAACAGAAAATTGAGGAAGGAAAAGCCTTACCACAACTTTGTTAGGATAGTTCATTGTAATGGCGCCACCTGTAGGTCTATATAGAGAACTGCAAGCAAGTAGAAATTAGGCTTGGCCCCATCTCGGTGTGTAGCCCCATACGTCAATAGACCCCAAATCCCTAGTGTGACTTCACAAGCAAGTGAATTCATGCTTACGTAGTCATACACTAAGTAAACCTCTGCAGGTGGCAGGACAAAGAGAAAGGCCTCTCCTGCAGATCTCAAAGCCCAAACAGGCTTACACAGTCTTTTGGGTTGCCTTGACCCAGGTCAGGCGGGGGTTATGATATTTAGGATAGCCAATACTTAGGATGTTGCATCCATATTTCATTGTGTTGTCTACCATGGCTAGTCCAGAGGTAGAGAAAGATGTGTGTGTTTTTTTACTACAATCTCCAAAGCTTTCCTACTAGCTGGGGGATTCTAGGGTTTCTGGTTGAAAGAAATAACTTATTTCTGCTCTAGTTTAATCACTGCTAGTACACAGACACCATCATTATCTCTTCTTCCTCAGCAGAGGTCATTTTGCCGTACGTTTTATCTATAACCATGCTCTCCCCCAATTTACCTACAAAAGAGGGAAATGAGCCATCCACAGCCTGGCAGTCTCCAGGTATGATGGACTACAGGTCCCCAAATCCCCGGTCAGCAAAGTCTGGGCTGGCTGAGGATAATATGATTGTTTCCCAAGACCTCTGGAGAGCACCAGCCTGGGGAGGGCTGTTGTAAATCAACTGACCCTTAACTTCTAATGGCCCTTATGCGTGCCTGGGATTTTTTAAAACAAATTTATCTTGGTTGCTTTTCCGACTGCTGATAAGAAGTCAGGTTTTGATATCAAGTCACATACTTTTGTTGGAAGATCAGCATGTGCTAAATCTGAACTCTTTAAGAATTCACTGGTGGAAGCTAACTGGACCAAGTGACTTGTTAATTGTTAGTTCATTATGTCCTTCTACTGCTATTTCATTCCCTCAACTGGACTTGTTTTTTTCAGACACAGTTCCTGCTCAGGGGATGGGGGTGGTGTTAATGGTAGTGGTAAAGGTGAAGACAGGGATAATTTCATTCAGGTTTTCAAGAATATCTCTTTCCTCCTTTACTACTCCTCTGACATCCTGTGGCCCACATCCTCTTTTTTACCTTCCCGAGGGTGCAATCAAATGGCCATTTAGCCTATTGATTGGTTCACATTGGGGATAGAGGGGGTCATCGGGCAATCACATGGTATAATAGCTTGAGTGAATCAGCCTATCCTCAGAGCGTTCCTACTCATACATTTCTAGGTCCCTATCAGGAACTTCTGCTTTTTTGGAGTGCGTAGGTTTGCTCTGTTTTGGTTTGTTTCCAGAACATGCAATTGCTGGGAATGAATCAAACCAAGCTTGTGGCTGTCAAATTGGCTGGATAGCTCAGTGGGTTAAGTATCTGGCTATGGAGCCAGAAGCTGGGAGTTCAGTTCCCCACTGTGGGAAATTGACAACAGAAGGAGCTGGACCAAATAGAGTTGCTTGAATTCCGATATTTCATTTAGATGCAAGGATCGCACCAAATGGCAGTGGAAGACAGGAGGGCCTGGCGTACTCTAGTCCATGGGGTCACAAAGAGTCAGACACAACTTAACGACTAAACAACAACAACCTCTACCTGATCTTAAGAAACCCTATTTAGCTGATACCAGCTCACCTCAAATGAGCCCATGTAGACAAGACCTTAGTCTCATTAAGAACAAGAACCGTGCTGGGTCACACCAAAGATTCTCCAAAAATCTTGCAGACTGTTCAAACGGTGGCCAAATAATAGCAAATGGGAAATCAACAAATAATGGGTTCTTGTGAATTTAAAGATACTTTGAATTCTTGGCCTTAATATTTTAGCCATATGCTCATTTTTTTTTCACTTGACTGTTATCAACGTTTTAATGCTAGAATGTATGCTCGCTTTTTTCTCTCTTAACTTGGGCATGACATTCACTTTAAAAAAACAACAACCCTTCCTTGCTTGTTATACGACCTGATTCTGCTCATAACCCGCACTGTGACTCTTTTGGACTTGATGGTGTCTTTCCTTATTTCAGCTTTAATTGCTTTGGCTCTAAATAACCTCCAAATTAGGGCTGCAGGGGGGACATAACAGATACACACACAGCTATAAAAACTGGACCTTCAACTCCTTTCAGTTTTCTGGGGGTTTTTTTCCTTTCCTTTTCAAAAAGTTTTGAAATCAAGAGTGGCTGTGTTGGCTTTCTTGCCGGTTCCTGTGTACATGTATTTTGACTTGTGGTCGGCCTTCCTGCTCCCAAGTCCCCACTTACCCTGCAGACGAAGCATTCGGGGTGCCACAGGGCATTGAGAGCAGAGATGTAGTTCTCCAGGATGGCCAGGTTGCACCCCTGGCAACGGGTGGAGAACAGCTCATAGAAGTCCTGCCGGCAATACTGCTTCCCGTCCTTCTCGTGAAAGCCTACAAGAGGAACCAAGTGGGCACCAACCAGCAAGTCAGCAAAACGGATGGAGCTCAGTGAGGACTTGCATAGCATAGATAAGTACAGAACAGATCAGCATTGAAAGAACCAGTTTCCCAACCTCCACCCCTCGTGACTACTAGTAACCCGAGAGGGGAAAGGATACAGTCAATTCTCATCCATTAGGTTTTCTCCCCTAAGGACCATTGTGGTAGGGGAAACAAGAAGGACAGTCCATGGGGTGGAAGGACCCACCAGGTCTCCACCACTCTCTCACAGTGGCTTCTCCAGATAAAGTGGGAGTGCTTAACATGCAAGCTTAATCATGACCCTGTCCTGCCAGGTCAATTCTGACTTATGGTGACCCTTTTTCCAAGGTTTTCCAGGTAGAGAACACTCAGAATTGGTTTATCCTTCCCTTCTTTTGAGGGTGGCCTGGGACTTTGCTGCTTGCCCAAGGCTACATACGGCGGCTCTACTCTCAGGAGGCCTAGGTGGGGAATCGAACTCCCAACCTTTGACTCCACAGTCAGATACCTAAACCACGGATCTATCCAGCCAGCATGTGCAAGCTTAAGAGGGTCTATAATGTTGTACTTTGCAACCAGATCTAGTGCCACCAAAGTCTGAAACAAGTCAGCACTACAAGTGCGTTTTCACACGGAAACAAGGTTCTCAAAGAGGAGTGTAGCTTAGGGTGGGCTCCGGGGGGCAGAACAGGGGAGGGGGCCCAGTGCCACCAGAAGTACCCACGCTATCCCCCTCCCGTAAAAGGTTCACCCGTGCAGGCAAATACAGGCACGCCTGCCTGTTTGCTGCTGTTCTTCCCACCTCACGGTGCCAGGGCCCAACACACCAACGGCATCCAGGCTCACCTTCCTCCCCAAAAGGTCGCCCACACTTCACACAGCAGAAATGCTCCGGGTGCCAGTTCTTATCCAGTGCGGTCACCATTTTCTGAATGAGTCAAAGGGTAATTTGGGGGAAAGACAAAAAAGCAAAAATGAAAAACCACAAGCATATTTGAGCATGTCTAAGGAAAGACACCAAACAAGGCAAAAAGGAAGTAGCAATTTGCTGACCATGTGTAAAAGGGGGTGCCATGGTTGTGGGTATACTGCACTTTCCCCCTCTTCTCGCCCTTCTTCTCGCTTACAGCAGCTCTCTCTCTTGCTGGGTTTATGTCCTTCTGCTTGGCATTTTGTTTTCAGATCATGTTTTTTTTCCTGAGTTAGACTGCCTTCTCTGCAGTCTCTTCTACTATTTTTGACACCTTACAATGACTAGAAAGGAGGAGCCTTGTGGCATAGTGGTTAAACTCCAGTACTACAGTGCAGACTCTGCTCACAATCTGAGTTTGATCCTAGCCTCAGGTTGGGTACAGTTGGCTTGAGGGTGACTCAGTGTTCCATCCTTCTGAGTTTGGTAAACTGAGTGCCCAACTTGGGGGGGGGGGAATGCATAGCCTGCATAATTAAATTACAGTGGTGCCTCGCAAGATGAATTTAATTCGTTCCGCGGTTAATGTTGTCTTGTGAAAAATTCGTCTTGCAAAACGCGTTTTCCCATAGGAATGCACTGAAATCTAATTAATGCGTTCCTATGGGCAAAAAGTCCGAACAAAGTCAAATTTGGTTTACAAACAGTTTGTTAAGTGCTTTTTAAAGCCATACATATTGTGCAGGTGATTTAAACAATTTCAATCAAAAAACTTTAACTTTCTAAACATCATAGAAAAACATTTAAAAATCAGCAAACATGAGGCAGGAACAAAAAATAAAAAACATTTGTCTTGCAAAGCACGGCCATAGGAACATTAGTCTTGCAAGTCATCAACCCCATTGCCAAAACCATTTGTCTTGTGAGTTTTTTGTCCTGCGAGGCACCACTGTATAAGCTGCCCAGAGAGAGCTTTAAGCCTATGAGACAGTATATCAACAGTGCACTTTGCTTTGGGTGGGGGGCTTTTAGAAATCAATGTATTCCAAGGTGCAATTGCGAGGCGTTTGTCTTGTGAAGCACCACTGTATAAGCTACCCAGAGAGAGCTTTAAGCCTATGAGATAGTATATCAATAGTGCACTTTGCTTTGTGTGTGGGGGGGCTTTTAGAAATCAACATGTTCCAAGGTGCAATTGTGCAGTCTGAAGCGCAGGAGGGACAACGGCGAAGCCCCATCAAATGCTAAGAGATGGAGCACATGGGTGGGATTACAACTCCCATTATCCTGTGACTGGTGGAATTCTGGGAGTTGTAAGCCAAGAAGCCCAACTGTTCCACTCTCTGCAAACGGCACTCTAGTGTTGTACATGCTATGGAATAACAACAACAACAACGATTGAGCAAATTCCTCTCCAAGCCACCGTCTCACAAAACTACACCTCAGTCAAATCTGCATTGGGAAACAACGAGGGCTACTCACATCCAGGATGGGTTCATTGCAGAGTCCACAGCGGGGAGAGAAGAGCTGGAAGTAGTCCCTCTCACAGTAAGGGGCCCCGTCCTTCTCAAAGAAGTTGCTGCCTCCCATCTCCTTCTGACAATGGGTACAGACGAAATGCTCCGGGTGCCAAGTGCTCCCCAGGGCTGTCACAACCTGGGCAAGGGGAAAAAAAACGATGAAAGTAAGATCAGGCTCATGGGAGCAGAGAAGAAATGAGCTGTTTTGACTCCAGGTAATGAACAGCAGAGGCAAACAAAAACAGTAGAGATTTCCGTTCCCATGCCACAGGATCCCATCACGACCAGCTGTCCTCTTTTCCTTTGCCTTCTATCTGTGCAGAAAATGCACAAAGGAACTCTTGAGATGGGTCCTTTTAGAGAAAACATCTCCCATCGGCCTAGTTCCAAAGGACGGCTGGGCCCAGGAGCTAAGTGTGGCCTGTTCTGCTCTAAACCGGCTTCTGATCAGCTGTTTTCACTCCTCTTCTTGAATGCATGAGGACTGAAACTAGGAACAGGTGGGTGGTCCAATTCTTCATACCCCTATTTGTTCACTCAGACCCCTTGGATCACTGACCTTGGGCAGGACCAACGGACATGGCCCCGTCTCCTACTAGATCTCACTCTCATCGAGTCATAAGAGCACTGAAAGAGGATGAACAACTCTAGAATGTCTTACGAAATCTTGACAGGCCAAATACATGTATATGAATGAATTCTGCAAATAAAACGGGCATTTTAGCTTCAGAACTTTTCCTCATGATAATGACCTTCAAGACAAAGGCTGGGTAGAGTTTGGCTGTCTATATTTGTATCCCTGGGAATACGAATGTGGATATTGGCACCACAAGTGCTGTGGAGATCCTCCCCCAAAAATCAGCCAGTCCATTCAATGGTCGCTACACAGCATGCATGGCCATCATCCACGTCATTGCGCCAATTACGGAAACAGCCAGGCTGGCACTTCCCTTCCTCCCCACGCAGCTGACTGCTCAACAGCTGAGTAGGGCGACTCTTCATCCTCCCTCCTCAACATAGTGGTCAGCTGCATGAGGAGGCAGGGAAGTGCCAGCCAAGCTGCTTCCGCAATTGGCCTGACAATGGCCAAGCGCACTGCATAGCAACCAATAAATAGATCATCTGGATCTCCATGGCACCTGTTGTGCTGATATTCGTATTTGTATCCCCAGGTATACGAATACTCCAACTCTAGAGATAATATAATGTACTTGCCTATGCCTCCACCCAACGCCTAGACTCTGGGATTTACCTGAATTCAGAAACATTACTTTAAAACTCCCAAAATCCAACAGTCAGTGGGATACAGAGGATCTTGACGTTGTACTTTTTTTAAAAAAATAGCATATTCAAACTCTTAGGAACAACTAGACGCTTCTAGAACTGGTAGGGCAGTTGAGAAAGGCTGTCAGACTTGACAGTGTTTTTTATGGCAGATGGAGAAAACACAGATGCTGTGACGGGATTTCATGTCAGCTGAGAATGGCCCCTCACACTCAGGACGAGGAAGCCGCTGAGCAGTCCCTCCCCAATGCCACGTGGATATTAAATCTATCCTGAATTAACTCTTTCCCCGCCGTCGGTGATCATAAGCCACTTACAGGCCCTCCACATACAAGACTGGTCCCCGGGAGAAGGCCCTCACCTGCCCTGCGATGGGTTTTTGGCAGGAAGCGCAAAGCCCCTTGGCTGTGGTTGAGATGCCTTGGCGGCTGAGGTCGGATTCAAGCATCACCAGCATGCTGTCCAGGTTCCCACTCGGCTGGGCTGGAGACATTTGTGGAGGTGCGACCGGCGGGCTGGGACAAATGGACGAGACCACCGGTAGCTGCATTGAAGACACGCGGGCAGGAGCAGGTGGCGGCGACACCGTGGTGGTGGTGGTACTGGTGCTGGTGCTGGTTGTAGCTCCTGGGAGCTAAAATATTATAGGCTATGAGTTAGAGACGGGTAACTCTCAACCACCAAGAGTCCTCTTGGCAAGCCCAGTATAATTTCTGGGTTGGCCGTTTTGCCAATCCAAAGTCAGTGTGGTCGTGATCATGCTGGCTAAAGTATGTAGACCGCAAAAGAGTTGTGGACCACAAAACCAACTTCTTTTAAAGTTCTACCTGTCACATTGCCACAATCAGTGTGCCCAAACCAGCCAGTATCTTTATAGACTAAAGCAATTCGTTTACATTCTTAACACCAGTGATGGGCTGGTTTTGGCCATGTGAAGCTCAATAAGGCCATTTTTGTAGACTCACAAAGAATAGAAGAATACCTGTTGGAACAACAGCACGAATTGCCAAACCAGCAGTTCATATATATCAGTTCATTTAATATACATTAAATGTTCTTTTCTGCTCTTGCACCTTCTCTGAGCAACTGTTTTCACATAAAGCAGATTCCAAGAATTCTCTCAAAACCTCCAAACACCAAACAGCAAGTTTAGATACCCACCTCCAGGCACTTCCAGTTTCGATTATTATTATTTTTTAAATTGCCACCTCCAGGCCTCATGTAGCACCCTACTAACGTTGGGACTGAAAATCTAGCCTCTAGCTTGCCAAAGTTGTCTACTGTTGCTTGTTAGCAATAATAGAACAAGTCATGAAAACATAAACCGCCATGACACATTTCCCAAGATGACAGCTGAAATACGAGTGACACTAGCCTTAACGTTTCTGCAGGACACACCCGCTTCTTCCTTTTACTAAGATAAAAAAAAAATCTCTCCCAGATCCTAGAAGAGTTACTTTTTAGACTGCAATTGCCCCAATCTCACCGAGAGCATGACAAACAACTTTTCCAAACTCTGATCAGTCTTTTCTACACCACACGAAGAGAGGACAGCAGCTAGAACTCTGTCTGTGTTCTGGAAGAGTTCTAGCTCCAGTCCTCTGAAGAGGCCAGTCACAGAAACCAGAACACAGCCAAATAGCCCAAAAAACCCACAACCACCATTGGATCCTAGCTGCGAAAGCCTTCATGAACAGAATTTAAGAGTATTTATGCTATTCTTTTTCAAAGACAAAATCGAGGTAGACCAATTTTAACTATGGCCAGCTGCAAAATTTGCCCAAACCATGAAATTCTTAAGAAATTCGTTGCTGGCCCGACAACTGAGAGGAAGCCTTGAACATCTTTTTTTTTTTCCCCCACAGAAATTTCACCTAGTTTCAGTCAAGGCCATAAGATGTCACATCCACCCAGTTTAAAAGAAGAAGACTGGGATTTTCAAGATGCTCTAATCAGCACTTGTTAGGCTTCATCTAGAGGACTGTGTCCAGTTCCGGAGACCACACTTTATGAAAAATGCCAACAAACTGGAGGATGTTCAGAGGAGGGCAACAAGGATGATCAGGGGACTGGAAACCAAACCCTGTGAGGAAAGATGAAAATAACTAGGCACGTTTAGCCTTGAGAAAAGAAGAGTGAGGGGAGATAGGATTGCAGTTTTCAAACACTTGAAAGGTGGTCATACAAAGGAGGGAAAGATCTGTTCTCAGTCTTCCCAGAAGGACACAATATTATGGGTTCAAGCTACAAGAAGCCAGATTTAGGCTGAATATCAGGGGAAACATCTTAGCTCTTGGAGCAGTACGACAATGGAACCCATTACCTTGGGAGGTGGTGAGTACTCCATTGCTGGAGACATTCAAGAGAAAATTGGAAACCTTCTGTCCAATTTGCTTTGATTTGGATTCATGCCCTGAGCAGGGGTGTTGGACTTGATGGCCTTATAGACCCCTTCCAACTCAATTATTCTATGATTCTATGCTGGAGGCTGCACTCGCTACTGTCAAATCACAAGTAATCCTGAAGACCTTCCTGCCCCCCCCTGCTCTCTTCGGTCCCATTGTTACGCAAGTGGCAAACTCACATTGCTCTGGACCCGGAAATCTGAGAGAGACGCCATGAGCTTGTCCAGTTCCAGAGTGGCAGAAGTGGCAGATGGTTTTGCTGACGCAGGAGCAGACAACCTGGGAATAAGATTATACCATCAAAACATATGGAGGAGAAGGAAACACAGTGAGACGGCTCCTCCCACTGCCCTCTGATTCTGAGATGATTTATAGGTACTTCATGGTCATGTGAATGGGTCCAATCTAGATCTATGTTACATGGGTTATGTATTCAAATTCTGCTTTGGAAGCCAGCAAAAGCCAGAGATCATTTCTGAAACTTCACCATAGCGTTGAAAAGAAAATTCTACCAGTGCAGTTTCTCCTATGATGCAAAAACAAACAAACAAACAACTGAAGCTGGCAGAATTCTCCTTTCTCTGAAATGGTTAAAAATACAGAAGGCCGTGTAGAAGTTACACCTGGCAACACTCAATTCCCATTTCTGCCACAGAATCCACATCAGAATTTGGAAGAATTCCTTTCTGCTTCTCCCATTTCTGTTTCTTAGGAAACCTCCCCTCCTTCCTAGCCTTAATTTGTAAAACTAGTTTAGTAACAGCCTATCCTCAGAGGGTTGTAGCAAAACTGACACAGAGGGTTGGAGCCAGATGTAGTCCTTGTTTGTGGGAAGCCAACACAATAATGGGACTTAAGTTAGTCATCATTCAGAGTGGTCGAGTAGACCAGAAAGGCGGGGTATAAATCAAATAAATCAAATAAATAAATAAAATTCATTTCTCCCATTGACTTCAGTTGATCTACGCCGAGCAGGACTCAGCCTAGCTTCACTCCAGAATTAGCCATTTTGGTTAAACTGGTGCAAAAAGCCAACGTTTAGATGATATTTCGGGATCTCCTCAGGAACAATAATGGGAAATCCAAGGTTTATTTTGTGGCATTCTGGGCCAGATTCTGCAAGAGGAAAGCAACTGCTTCAAACAAAGAAGTGATCAAGGATTTAACACTTTCTGGAGCAAGTATGTTGGTATTTAGTCTCCCTCACAGTCACAATGGCCACTCACTCACCGGGATAGAGAACTGTCATCTAGCAAATCTTCTGGCTTGTCCCCATGAGAGCTTTTGTTGGATGGGAACTGAGACATTATTTCATCTGAGGGGAAAAGAAGGAAAGGAGAGAGAGAGAGAGAGATCATATCTTTCCATCATTGCCATTTCAGATCCTGGCCACAAGATGGCAGCACTGCCACAATTCTAAGACCGCCCAAGGCCCATTAAGAGGACTGAGGTGAAATCAAATGCAAAGGATGCCTCTGAGCATATGCAGAAAGCTTACCTCTCACCACTGAGTAAACATAAATGGGTTTAGGATGAGAAGAAACAATTTCTAGGGTTAGAACTGAAAGTTCACTCACAATTTTTCCTCAGCCAGGCAGTCAGCTGCAGGGGATGAAAGATTGAAGTGCCAGAGAGGACCCCAAATACCTGAAAATCTAGGGCCCCGGCTATGGGTCAATACAGCTCTGGGCAAACCAGCAGAAATCCCAAGCTGAGAGCACAGACCTCATTTTGAGTCCCAGATGATGGGCGGGTGGGGGTCAGTCTCAAGTCAACTTACTTAGGTAAAGGTAAAAGTTCCCCTTGACATTTAGTCCAGTCATGTCCGACTCTAGGGTGCGGTGCTCATCCCCGTCTCCAAGCCATAGAGCCAGTGTTTTGTCCAAAGACAGTTTTCCGTGGTCACGTGGCCAGCGCAACTATACACGGAATGCCGTTACCTTCCCACCGAGGTGGTACATATTTATCTACTCACATTTTTACATGCTTTTGAACTGCTTCAACTTACTTACTTACTTATTCCCGTTTCTCTACCACCCCATTAGTGTTGCCACTCTCTGGGCAGTTTACAACATGCAATACAAACATAACAACCCTATATAATAAATACAAAAATTACAATAAAATACAATTAAACCCTACCCTGTCACTAGCTTTTATTTAAATAAAAATACAGAAATTAAAGCCCATTTGAATATCTCAGGACAAATTTACACTAGTAGAAGGCAGCTTTGTATAATTCAGACTTAACTCGCTTCCTAAAAACAGAGAGGGGTAGTGCCTAGTGAACCTCTATAGCAAGCTTGTTCCCGAGGAAAAGTGCTACCACTAAGAAAGATTGGTTCCTCCTATTGGCTTTTTTTTTGGGGGGGGGCTGTTTAGGTTTTTCAATTCTTAACATCAACGACTTTGAGGAGCGTTTGGGACAGAAAGCTGTTTTGGAGAGAGAGGTTCCACCATTAAGGGCTTTATCTGCCATGGCCAGCATCTTAAATTGAGCACAGAAAACTAAGAGCGGGGGCTTTGAAGGTGTGCCAAGGCTGGCAATGTGCGTTGGACCGGCTGACATTTCCATCTTCAATCTATGGAGAGAAGCCACTGTAGGACTTGCACCCATGCCAGGGTCTCTGGGCCATCTGTGGCCCTCCGGAGCTTGTTGAACTACTGCTCACCTTGGCCCCGCAGCATGGCCAATAGTGAAGGATGATGAAACTTGCAATCCAACAGTATTTAGAGACACAAGTTGCCTGAGGTTGGTTTTTATAAAAAATACATTTTTGGACAATCATAAACTCAACAATCAGCGTTTCAGAGAGATTTGAAGTTCTAAGAAAGTTGTCTCCAGGGGGGTAGTTTAAGAACACAAACATGGTCTTGTCTTTGGGTCAGACTAAAATGTTCTTCTCGTCCAGCCACCGGTGGCCAGTTGTATTCTGTCCCCTTAAATATACTCAGGGAGAGTGATGGCCATCCGTTGCTGTGTATTCCCAGCCTCTGACACTCAAGAAGCAACCTATCTCTGCACATTGAAAATTTGTTTTATGCTGTCCTTGGCTGATGATGATCAAAGGCTCTGTCTGAGGGAAGCCACTGACACTAGCATGATCTTGTGGCAACCAGTTCCTTTCAGCAGGTAAAAATACAGTCAAGCACATAGGAGAATAATAATTCTTCCTCTTTTAAGATTTGAGGGTTAGCTCCTTCCTTCCTAGAAATCAATCCGGTGCAAGCACCCGTCCCATCGGCTCCTTACGCCCACCTCCCTGGTCCTACCGCCACCCCGTGTACCTGTGATGTTGAACTGGGTTGCGTTCAGTTCCTGTAGGAGCCGGTCCAATTCACAGAGCCCGGCTCCGAGCACCCCACTGGAGGATGAGAAGGGCGGAGGAGCGCCTTCTTTGGGCTTGGGCGAACGTGGCTTGCAGACAGTGCTGGAAGAAAGAGATGCAAGAGAGAGAGAGAGACCAACGATGAGAACACAAGAAGGTTGTGTGGGGGCACAACCACCTTGAACAAAAATCGTGGCAGGAGGTGGGCTGAGGAGAGCTTACGAGTCGTGCCACACCTCAAGGAGACGGATGCAGCATCAGTCCACTCCGGAGAAGATGAAAAAAGGGCGGCAAAGGGAGATGGTGTGTGTGGGGGGATGTAACTATTTATAGGATCCTTTGGCTTAATGGAAGTTTTGGAACAAGGCCAGCCAAGCTGGGCACAGCTCCCAGAGAGACCGAGTGCCTTCATAAGCAACTTTCTCTCTCCCCCACCCCCATCTTTCCATCCCTTCTGGTACTTGTCTGCCCCCAAACAAGGCCAGATCAAGGGTTTGGCAGGAGGGCTGTTTTCTCTCCAGTGCTTAATTTGAGGCTTCTGGGTTTCTGTGCTGCAGGCAGTGAGGGCTGGGGGGGGCTTTTAGGCTGGGGGGGGCATGGCTGGCTAGAAAAAGTGGTTGAAGCCAACACACTGTCTGCCGAGCCAAGGATCACGTACAATAGGGTGGGAACTCATTAAACCAACATAACAGATTGTCCTTCAATTCAGTGGATGTTAAATGTTTGAGGGTACAATCAGACGGCTGCAAAGGCACACCAAAAAGGGTTGCTTTGCTGGTCATGGTCTCCCTTAAAGAGATCCTTCTTTTCTGCCGGAGAATCATTCCAGCTCAGCCTCTGAAAGCAGTGGTCTTGCAGCTGGACCAACAACATTCAGTTTGGGGATGGATTGCGGTTGGACTAAGGAAAAGATCACACTGGACTCCTTCACAAGTGGTCCCAATTGTGATCTATTTCCCCCATAGGATCACACCCTAAGGTGTTGTATCATAACGTCCAGGAATGTTGGCAAGTCTGAGTCTCAAGTCCAAGTCTCTATTTTTAAAAAAGCTTCTTTTTTTCCCCAGAAAAAAAAGGAGAGGTGAGTGCAAGTTGCAAATTGAGTCTATGTCCTTGGAAAAAATAAACCAAGTCAACTCTGAGTCGAGTCACCAGTACAACTTAAGTCCGAGTTGACAGTGAATCCCACGACTTGAGTCTCCATCCAACAGAAGAGAAAGGGCACATCGCTGGAATTAATTAGCTTCCTCTACTGTCAGTGTGATGGCTTTCCTCTCCCTGCCCTCCTTGCCATCTCCGACCGCTGATGGTCACCAGTCACCACTGCCTAATGGGAGGAGGAACTGCGGCTGTTGCCACTTCTCCCATCAAAGTGCTGCCTTGGTGAGAGAAAAAACAACCACTGCAGTGTCTTTCCCTGGCACAAATAGGTAAAGGTAAAGGCTCCCCTTGACATTTATTCCAGGCGTGCCCGACTCTAGGGCGCGGTGCTTATCCCCGTCTCCAAGCCGTAGAGCCAGCGTTTGTCCGAAGACAGCTTCTGTGGTCATGTGGCCAGCGCAACTAGACACGCAACGCCGTTACCTTCCCACTGAGGTTGGTCCCTATTTATCTACTCGCATTTTTACATGCTTTCAAACTGCTAGGTTGGCAGGAGCTGGGACAACTGACGGGCGCTCACTCCTTCACGTGGATTCGATCTTACGACTGCTGGTCTTCTGACCTTGCAGCACAGAGGCTTCTGAGGTTTAACCTGCAGCGCCACCACATCCCACAAATATGTGGGGTCTTTTTCCAGGCTGAAGCAGAAAGCACTCCAGCCTATGCGGCATAAGGTAGACTGGAGGTCCACCATGATATCTCGGTTCCTTGATCCTTTGTGACTGGTAACTGAGGGACTTGCTTCATTCCGCCTAACAGTAGGACCGGCCCTGCCTGTGTTGTCTTGTCTCTAAGGTTCTGCAGTTGGATCTTTTCCCTCTTCCTTCCTCAGAGGTTGAAAACATTTCTTCTCTCAGACTAGAATCCTCCAACCATAATGGTCACTGGCTGGGGATGGATGGGCAATCCTTCCTGGAGGATTCTGGGAGTTATAATCTAAAAGGAACATTTCCTGTTGGCGAAATAGCAATCTTGCGTGCCTGAGGCCAAAACGGCACTGTCTGGAAAAACAAACAAATCTGCAGCAACTCATGGCATGTCACGTGACGTCGAGCTATACCGCAGTTCAAAATCACGTCCAATCTTTTTTTTCTGCTTTGGGGAGACACAGAACTGCCCCTTTTAATCACCAGTCATTGACCTGATCCTACCTTACCTCCCCGTTTGTCACCTGCTCACTCTCCTTCAACTGCCATCATGTCTTCAATACTTTTTCCTCCTTTGTTCCTTCATGAATGGACTCAAAAGGGTTAAAGTTGTGCGATAAGGGAAAGCCAGCAAGACCAGAGCTGATCTCTCCACATTTCTAAGTTTTCTTCCTGCCTTGTGCTTTGCTAAATACTGTAAAGAGATAGCCACATTCCTAATACCTGACGATTTAACCAAAAATCACCAGTCTTTCTAATTTCTGTTTGTTCTTCCCTCTACTTAAAAAACAATTTCTTCCTCTCATAGCTTGTTTCCTCCTTGACTTTAGATCCTGCGTCCCTTGCAATATTTCTCACTCCCCACGAGATGGTTTCCTTTCTATACTTAACTTTGTATTTTGAGGCCTTGTTTGTCCTATTTTGAGAGCAATGGTTAATGAAAGGAAAGGAATGGTACCCCTCCGTACCACAAGGATACACATACACACACATACTCCTTCCTGAAGTTGTCTCCAGATGCCCTCTGGTTTACCTGTAAAGATGTTCCTTGTCACTTCCACCCTGCAGGGCAGATGCTGGAAGAGGATCTACAGGCATGTTGGTTGGTCCTCCCTGAAACAAAACGAAAGGGCAGGCATAATAAAGAAGAGGGAAGGAGTTACGACATCTTGTTTTCATGGAAAGAAAAAAAATATGGGCATGAAGAACCCACCGATAGACAGACAGCCATAGGACACACAGCCGTGGTGCCAAGCTAAGCATTTTTTCCTCTGAAGTTTAAGCTTTGTCTTAGAGATGGGCACAAAGCACCACTTCCACAGTTCATGCCAATTCAATTTTTTTGGTCAAAAAAGGTGTTTGTCACTTGTCAGCCCCACCTCCTCTGGGCACTGTTCCTAAGTGGGCATCCGCGAGAGGAAGAGGAGGAGGAGGAGGAGAAGGGGCTGGGAAGCGTCAAACTTCTGTTCAGCCAAAATAAAACGAACCAGCATGACGCGCCGAAACCAGAAGTTTGTGCCCATCTCTACTTTGTTTCAAAAATCTGCAAAATTTGTTTGAACGAAGGTTTGCATACACATTGTGGGAAGTGAAATCTCACAGCATTTTAAGCTTTCTTGAGATGCACGAACAAACCCACATGGGAGCGATTCTTTTGCTGTGGAAGCCCAGTTGCTACACTCTGTTAAAAAATACTGTCTTCTCTCCCAGATCAAACACAGGAAAAATCAATTCAGTCCACTTATTAGAGACACAATTTGTGCACCATGATAATTTTCTGGAAATCAATGAACATCCCTGGGCTCTCTTCTTCCCCAACGAATTTTTCTTCTTTTCTTTTCTTTTTTTAAAGAAATCAGTTATATTTCATTTAGGGAGAAATAGTTAATTCAACAAATGTGAATTCAGCATTGTATATAAAATTTAAAATCTGGCCAGGCTAGCTTTAGTGTGTCATCCAATACAGGGATGATGGTTTGTTTCACCCACACAAAACGAGTTCCTTAAGCTGACAGTAAACCCTAGTTTTGAATGGATTTAGCTGCAGGTCTTTCCACCCAGCCTGCCTAAAGCCAGTGGTGGCAGTGATGAGGAAATACTGAAACAGCGTAAGTGGCTAAGCTTAAGGATTCCCTCTCCTTCTCTGTGGACGGGAGGAGAAGGAAGCAAAGGGTTTTTTAAAAAGCTTATTACAACAGTGTTGATATGCTGTAACTTGTGGAGTGGTCACAATTGACTAGATAGGCGGTCTTTCCACCCAGCCTGCCTAAAGCCAGTGGTGGCAGTGATGAGGAAATACTGAAACAGCGTAAGTGGCTAAGCTTAAGGATTCCCTCTCCTTCTCTGTGGACGGGAGGAGAAGGAAGCAAAGGGTTTTTTAAAAAGCTTATTACAACAGTGTTGATATGCTGTAACTTGTGGAGTGGTCACAATTGACTAGATAGGCGAGGTATAAATGTGATAATTAAGGGACATGGGCCAATTAGGGTAATGTGAAGTGGGGATTCACTACAAGGCATTGCAGCAGAGCAATGTAATAATCTTGTATTTTTGAGCATCTGCATCGGGGGTTTTGAATCGACTCCCCCACAAATATGGGGGTTCTAGTGTATAGACAAGTGTTCCCTTTCTTTAAAGACAGAACAACCCTATTCACTCCCACAGCAGTGGCAAATGCACCATGTCATCCAGTTCAAGGTTGATTATGTCCACGTTTTCTTTCATTCCTGTCTTAATTCTCTTGTCCTCCTATTAAAAGGAAGGGACCGCTCCAGTGATTCTAGAGATGTTCCTCCCCCACAGGCACTTACCTGCTGCTGAGGATTGTAAGGTGGAGGTGATGGCTTGGGTTCTGGAGCCCTGTCTTGGTTCAGGGCTCCTCCGGAATCAGTGAGGAGAACCGGCCGTTTGGAGATATGGGAGGTGGTTGTCTCCAGGTCAGCCAAGAGAGCATCTGGTAGAGGAAGAGACAGAACAAGTTGAGAATGATATGAAAGCTTTGGCAGGAAGAAGCCGGAGAGGGACCACCAACGCAAAAGGGGCCATTCTTGTGAACGTGAAGGAGAGGAAGGTGTTGGTGCCAGCACAGTGGAGGTGAGGGCAATATGATGTGAGAGCCAGCGTGTGGCATCTGGGGATCAGAGTGCTGGTGTGGGGCTTGGGAAATGCTGGTTCTGTTTCCCCCCCAGAGGCATGAAACTTCCTGTTTAGATCAGTCACTTCCCCTTGGATCGACCCACATCACTAGGAATGGGAGACATGGATGCCCAAAGAGGCTACTGGCTGGTGGATTCTGGCAACAGTGGTTCAAAAAAAGCTGTACATGTTCAGGCACTCCCTTGTTGCTTCCCAAGTTCTGTACAAGCTTTGCAGCGAAGAAGTCCAGAAAATCTGACCTGAGAGTTAACTTGCCCTGCACAGACTTAACATATTTGCTAGGTCACGGTCAGACTCAAGTCTTTGCCTGTGGAGACTTAGCTAAAACTTTCCATTGCAGCTGCGGACAAACATACCATGGCTTCCCACACAATCACCCTTTTGTACGAGCCCCCTTTTACCACCCAGAGGGAGTTCCACAGAAGCCCTTTTGAGCTTGCCCTAAACCCAACGGCAAGTAAGCAGCAGATCATACACAGGACCCGAGACGGCAAATTAGTTCATCATCCTGCTCCTCCCAGCCAGCTGATCCCCAGAAGAGAGCCTGGATATTTTCTTTTTAAAAAAACATAAGATGCTAACACAATCCCCATGTGTTTGCACAGCCAGCCTAGAGACTGCAGCCTTGCAATATTAAAAATGCTGACACAGCACCTTACTGTTTCAAAAGACCCCGAGGATGATGGTACACATCTGGTGAAAACCAGGTTGGGCAAGTCTGGCTCAAAATAATGCATTAATTTTTGAGCTCACACTGTGAAAATGAACCCATTTACGTTTCTGGGACTGTCAACCGCATCTTGCACACTGCATTTTTGAAATAACACTTCTAGTTGTTGTTGTTGTTATATGCCATCTTATTATGACCTGAATAGGACTTTTAAGGGATGTGAGATGTTCAAGGAGTGGTTTCACCAGGGTCGTTCATGTTTCACCTTCCCGGCGGGGTGGGTGAGACTGCCACGATCTTCTTTGTGCCAAGGGGATTTCTGTGGCAACCCTCTGACTCGTGTGCAAGTTAGACGCCTTGGTCACGGTTTCAAGACAGGTTGGGTGGGCAGCCAGCATCACCACAGACCCCAGGAAGCAGCTCCTGCTGCATCCCGGGGGGCCAGGGAGAAGACCATCCAAACCCCAGTGCATGATGACCAAATTGGGTTTTGAGCCCAGGTCTCCGGAGTCCTTGTTCAACATCTTAACTACTACACCACATGGGGTCTCTAGGCATATACTTGTATTGTACACTTTGCACATATGACCTCATTCATCACAACACTCCTGTGAGGCAGTACGCCAGTAAACTTGTGTCGACTCCCCAGTCAACTGATTTTCTGGATCCATTCTTGAAAACGTTAATTTGTTGGATGACAATCCACTCGTCAGCACTGGTCATTGGCCATTCTGGGTGGGGGATTCTGGACACTGCAGCCCAACAAGGCAATGTTTCCATACTGGGCACATGCATGCTTGATCTGTCCTTCCTGGAGGTAGACCTCAATTTAGTAAAGGGGTTTGAGTATTTCAGTGAAGTTGAGAACCATCAAGAGGCCAGATTCCATTACGAATGTGGACATCTGGTAGGGTCACCCAAGGTAGAATGGTCATAGCTGAGAGTCCAGAGAGTGATGCATCCACCCTCATCAAAGCAGCTATTGGGGGGGGGTTGCAGTAGTCAAAGGTGACACTGGTGTAAAAGACAACAGCATTGATGCTCAGGTTAACTTTTGTTAGTACTGCACAGAAAGTGTCAATGGTGAACTTGCCTTCCCATGAAAAACCTGTGATGAAACAGTCCAAAATCAAGCAGGAGATAGTGCTGAAAGATGAGACCCCCCCCCCTCAGGTCAGAAAGCACTCAATCACCTACTAGAGAAGAGCAAAAGGCAAGTAGGAATAGTTCTATTACTAATGACTCAACTGGTTTAAAGCCAAAAAGGATCTCTAATGGCTGACGTGCACAGAAGTGAAAGGAAAGTCTGATGCTATAAAACACATGCAACTGGAACATGAAACATGACAAGTTATGAATCAAGGTATTGTAAACTGGAAACTATACAGCAAGAAATGGAATGTATAAATATTGCAATGTTTGGTGCCAGTGAAATAAAGTGGACTAGAATGGGATATTTTCAGTCAAACAACTACAAAGTGTTCTATTCTGGAAATGACAAACGCAGAAGAAATGGAACGGCTCTAATACTGAGGCAAAATGTAGCACAGGCGGTTTGGGGACTATAATTTAAGGTCTGACTGCATAATATCAATCAGACTCTGTGGAAGATCTATCAACATAACCATAATTCAAATCTATCCTCCAATGCCAATGCTAAAGAAGATGAAACTAAAAGGTTTTATGTAAACATCCACAAGAAAATAGATCACACACCAAAACAAGACAAGTTTATAAGTGACTGGAAAGAAAGCAGAACCAAATGTCTGAAAATTCAGCCCAGGGGAAAGAAATGAAACAAGAGACGACTTGTATAGTTCTGCAAAGCTAACAATTGTTTTATTGCAAATACCAGCTTCAAACAACCAGACAGCTATACATGTGGACATCACCAGATAGTCAATATAAAAACCAAACGGACAAAGCCGCCCAGAGACCTCTGGGTAGTGTGGGCGGCATATAAATTGAATAAATAAATAAATAAATAAAGCAATTGGAAGCAGAAGATAGAGAAGCTGTATTCTCTCTGACAAAATAAAACCAGGGGTGGATTGTGGTACTGCTCATTAATTGTAAATATCCAACTTTAGAGTAAAGCTGAAAAAGAACATCAAAAGAATCATAGTGCCAAAATATAATTTAAGTAACATTCTTTATGAATTTGCTTTACTAAACTTAATTGACCCTGAACCAGAAGAAGTGTAGATTGAAACCAGGGATTTTATTAGTAAAGAATTCAAAAGTACAATTCCTGTAGTAAAAAGAAATGAAAAACCTAGATGGATGATGGAAGTAATACTTAAAATTGTAAAGGACAGGTGAGAAGCAAAAGTAAAAAATGACAGAAAGTCAGATCCTCGAATACGTATAGTTTTTCAGTGGCTGTCACATAGAGACAAAGAGAACTGTTAGAATCACCAGTTGAAAGAAATAGAGGAGAACAAGAAAAGGGGGGAAACAACAGAGCTCTTCCAGAAGATCAAAGCAATCAAAGAAAACTTTAGTATTAGGAATGCTGATTGACCAACAATGAAGCATACTATCTGACCAGAAGAAAATTAAGAGAAGGTGGAAACAATATACTGAAAACCTGTACAGAAGATATAAAAGGATGACTGATTCCTTTGAAGTGGAATCCTATGATGAACCTGCAGTTCCAGAAAGTGAAGTGAAAGCTGCTCTGAAAGCAATAGGAAGAATTAAATCATGAGGGGTAGATGGTATACTAATAGAACTATTTCAAGCCACAGAGACTGCATCTGTCAAAATCATAAAAAGAATATGCCAGCAAATATGGAAAACAAAATAATGGCCCAAAGACTGGGAACATTCAATATACACTCCAGTCTCCAAGAAAGGAGATGCCAAGAAGTACTGTAGTTATAGACTCATTGCTTTAATTTCCCATGCAAGCAAAAGTTATAGGATCATTGCTCTAATTTACCATGCAAGCAAAATTACCCTCAAGCTGTTGCTTTTACTTATATGGAGCAAGAAATGTCTGGTGTTCAAGATGGATTCCAAAAAGGAAGAGTGCTCGAGGTCATATTGCAAATATATGCTGGCTGCTAAAGCAAAGCAAAGAATTTCAGAAGATAAGTCTCTGCTTCATGGACTACAGCAAAGACTTTGCATACTGGAGGCATTCAAGAAAAACTTAAAATCAAAGCAAAGAATTTCAGAAGATCAGTCTATGCTTCATAGACTACAGCAAAGCCTTTGACTGCATACTGGAGGCATTCAAGAAAAACTTAGATAATCAACTGGCAGATATGCTTTGATTATATTCCTGCCTTGACCAGGGGGTTGGACTTGATGGCCTTGTAGGCCCCTTCCAACTTCACATTTCTATGATTCTATAGATCATGAGAAACTATGGGCTGTTCTAAAACAAATAGGTGTGCCTCAATACTTGATTATCCTGATGCATAATCGGTATTGTGGACAAGAAGCTACCGTTAGGACAGAATATCAAGAGACAGAATGGTTTCCTGTAGGCAAAGGTGTCAGACAAGGGTGCCTTTTATCCTCTTCTCTGTTCAGTCTTTATGCAAAACGTGTCATATGGAAAGCCAGACTAGATTTGGATGAAGGAGGAGAGGAAATTGGTGGAAGAAACATTAATAATTTAAGGTATGCAGGTAACATCACCTTAGTGGCTGAAAAAGCAACAATGACTTGAAGTGGCTTTTAGTGAAAAGTGTCAAAGCAGTAGTGCAGTTGAACATTAAGAGAGAAATCATGACTACACAACTTTAATGTTGACAATGAAGAAAAAGAAATAGTAAAATACTTTGTATAGCTCGGTTCAGTCATTAATCCAGGTGAAGCTTGCAGCCAAAAAATCAGAAGAAGACTGAGGAAATACTTTGTATACTGTAGCTCGGTTCAATCATTAATCCAGTTGAAGCTTGCAGCCAAGAAATCAGAAGAAGACTGAGACAGGAAGCTCAACAATGACAGAATTAGAAAAGATCATCAAGTGTAAAGACAAGAAGCTCAACAATGACAGAATGAGAAAAGAGCATCAAGTGTAAAGATGTGTCACTGGAGACCAAGGTGTGAAAGCCGGTCAGTTTTAAAAAAAAGTGACAGAAAAAAATGTTTGAATTATTGTACTAGAGGGGAGCTTTGCATATACCCTGGCCTGCCAGAAAGACAAACGAGTGGGTCCTAGAGCAAATCAAGCCTGCATTTACCAAGGTGTGAAAGCTGGTCAGTTTAAAAAAAAGTGACAGAAAAAATGTTTGAATTATTGTACTGGAGGGGAGCTTTGCATATACCCTGGACTGCCAGAAAGACAAACAAGTGGGTCCTAGAGCAAATCAAGCCTGCATTTATCTCTGAAGGCAAAAATGATGAAATTGAGGCTATACTTAGGGCACATCATGAGAAGGCAAGATTCTCTAGAAAAGACAATAATAATGGGAAAGGCTGAAGGTTGCAGGAAAAGAGAAAGAGCAAATACAAGACGTACAGTACTGAGTTTCTAAAGGAAGTGACAGGGTTGAGTTTGCAAGAAAGGAGCAGGGCTGTTGATGGACAGATGTTGGAGATCTCTCATTCATGGCATCACCACAAGTCAGAGGTGATCTGACGGGCACGTAACAACAACATATTGCTGTCATTCAGATGGAAACAATCCAATGGGAATGGATCCACCCCAAGCCAACGTACAGTACTGAGTTTCTAAAGGAAGTGACAGGGTTGAGTTTGCAAGAAAGGAGCAGGGCTGTTGATGGACAGATGTTGGAGATCTCTCATTCATGGCATCACCACAAGTCAGAGGTGATCTGACGGGCACGTAACAACAACATATTGCTGTCATTCAGATGGAAACAATCCAATGGGAATGGATCCACCCCAAGCCATACTCTTTATTTTATCAGACGTTGGAGATCTCTCATTCATGGCGTCACCACAAGTCAGAGGTGATCTGACGGCATGTAACAACAACAACATTCTTGATCCCATATTGCTGTCATTCAGCTGGAAACACTCCAATGGGAATGGATCCACCCCAAGCCATACTCTTTATCAGAAGAATCACCACACTTTGAAAAGAGCGGCTCTCTATCAGATCAGTTCTAACTATCTTTGGTTCCACCATGAACGAATAATAATGGCTGCATGAAATCACCCACTATAATAACTGACCCCTTCTCTGCCAGCCCCCTGGTCCTTTCCCAGATCTATAGCTGGTTTCAGCTTTGCTCTTTCACTGTCCCATCCTCACACCCAGTTACCCACGGCCGTGCATATTTTGAGAAGAAAACACAAACGATCCTTTCGATCCCTTTTCTGCCAGCACCCTGGTCCTTTCCCAGATCTAATTGCTCTTTCACTGTCCCATCCTCACACCCAGTTACCCACGACCGTGCATATTTTGAGAAGAAAACACAAACGATCCTTTCCAAAACACCAAAACCCCTGATGATAGCATCAGTTCTGCTCAATGGGAGCAGATCGTCCACTGGGACCCAGTGCTACTTTCACCTCCTTCCAAATCCAGTGATTTTGTGCAAGCGGATGTTCACATTCTCCTTACTCTTCGCCCCTCCCTCCACACCCTTGTCTCGACACACAGACTTCTTAAGCCAAGAAACCTCCCTTATCGATCCTAATTCTCTCACCCACCAATCCATTTCCCAATAAGGTTCTGCACACGCGTAGCTGAATTATAAGGCTTCCCCATCCCTGGGTCATCCCAGGCTTTAAAAAGAGGAGAGGAAAAGAGTTTGAAGAGCATAATTTGATGGCATGACTCTGGAACTCTTGATTCCAGCTGTTTGCTGGGATAGATAAGCACAGAAAAGTATGGAAGAGCAAAAAGTCTCTCTCTCTCTCTCTCTCTCTCTCTTTTCTCTTTGTCTCCTCCAACCCCCTTTCTGGCTGATGTCACAGCGCAGAAATGTGTTTAAGGCTGAGAAGGAAACCACAGAGGGAGAGAGGCAGGAATGCAACATACAAGAAGGGAGGGAGGATAAGAGACATGGAGATGATGATGGGGAGGGGAGTGGGGTGAGAGGGAAAGAGCGAGTTGACAGCTAGCCAAGGAAGCTCCCTCAGAGCATTGACATTTCACCTCAGTGGCCGAGGGAGTTGATCGAATTAAAGGAGGCAGAACCTCTCAGCCTCGTACTAATTATTACAATTGATCTAGAACAAGGCCTTTCTGTATCTGAAGCTGAAAATCTCATTCTCTTGCTCGCTTGCTCACAGTCCAGAATTCACAATTGTACAATTCTTTTTCTTACTACCTCCTTGCATTTATTACATTTTTAGCTGTCTGATCTTAAAGATGTTTAGGGCTGTATACCTTCTTCTCCTTCCTGTTCCCATTTTCGGTGGTACAACCGCCCTCTGAAGTGGACTGGGTTGGGTTGAGATCTCACCGGACCGAAGATCAACAGATGGATGTACTATTGAGACTTGTCTTGGGGGGGACTTACCAGCTGATTCTGCTCCAAAACCTTCATGACACAATCTAAGATTCCAGTTGGGGATACTTCCACTTCAGATCCCATGCTTACAACAGAAGTTGTAAGAGACTGAGAATAAAATAACACCCTCCACCCAGTTGCAGGCATCAGAAGAACTGGCCAAATCCATCTCCCTCTGCTACTCTTTAAATAAACCCTCCTTCTGAGAGATAACATTTTCACAAATGAACCTAATCTGCCACAACTTGAGGTCTCTCGGACATGTCTGGCAGCAAGTCTCACTGTCTTGTGCCCACGTGTTGCATGCTTGTTGAAAACGATGGATAATGAAGCTCATCCCATCAGGTGGGTATCAGCTAAAAGAGGGCTCATAGACTCATACAAGTGTTGGAGTCGGTGGGAGTATCCTAAGGGTCCTCTAGATTAGTATTTCTCAAACTGGGGTCTCCAGATGTTCTTGGACTGCAGTTCCCAGAAGCCTTCACCCCTTGCTGTGCTGGTCAGGATTTCTGGGAGTTGCAGTCCAAGAACATCTGGGGACCCCAGTTAGAGGACCACTGCATCTAGTCCAACCACTTGCTGATTCTGGGAATCCACTTGGGGGGGGGGATAACGTCCCTAAGACTTTCTGTTTAAAATCTTCACAGCCCTTGCAGTGCAATCCATCCACAGTGATCACAGAAACTCTAGGGACCGCTTCAGTCACTCAAATGAAAGGACAGTGAGACCACACACGTCCCAGATGCAGAGGCCTGAAGGATGAATCACGAATGACCAGCTTTTAAGGGATACCTAGTCTAAGGACAGAACATCTGGAACCCAGGACTCTGAGTTTCATATGTTAACCTAGGGAAGGAGGGAAAGGATTAAGGAGCAGAAGGCCCAGATAGATGGGTGACTTCTGAGTACTTCTGAGCTATGCACATTTTAGTAAGTTTGGGGCTTAGAAAAGTTTTTTAAAAATTGAGTACAACTTCCAGGATCAACGGTCCTGATTTGGGAATCTGGGTAGGTGTTGTCCAAAACCTTGTCCAACCAAGCATGCTGCAGGGGTCCCCTTGCCAAGATTGTGTGGAAGTGAATGGCGGGAGTTCTGACAGGCCATTCTGAGGGCCTGGATCCAAGAGCGCTAGGCTTAAGTTTTGGAGCAGGGGGAGGGGTTTTTTGGGGGTCCTAAATTCCTGGGTTCTTTGCCTGGGACTTTTTCCTCTAAAACGGACCGTCTTGATTTTCCTGCCTCGCCGGGAGAGGTGAAGGATGCCCACCGGGAGATATTGAGGGGGGGGCAGTAGCCGGATTTTGGGGACGACAGCAAAGCCCCCTTGTTCCCTCCCTGGCGTAGCGCCGAGTTCGAGCTTTTCCGCAAAGCGGCGAGAATCCGCCGAGAAATACATTCCTCCTTTCTCCGGATGGGAAGGGCTGAGGAAACGCGCCTTCTCCCTCACACCCGCCCCTGCCGGCTTACGAGGCGATGGGGAGGGAGACACCGAGGGGCCCTCGAAGAAAATGGCCGGGGGGGGGAGGAGAGAGAGGCAATGGATAATAAGAGCCAAGAGGGGAGGAAGACCCGCCCGAGAAACGTGTCAGAGAGAGAGAGAAAGAAAGAGGGTTGTGAGGAAGAAACAAGCGAAGAAAGCCGAGTGAGTAAGACAGGGACCAAGCCAGAGTGGGCCCATTCACACGTTACGCTTTCCTTAGGCGTACACGTGGAGTTCAACATTCCACGCCGTGGCGTCCGATCCACAGGCGGCGGCTCGCCGCTGGTCTTTGCAAACACGTGCAAGCGCTCAACATTCCACGCCGTGGCATGCTGGTCTTTGCGAACACGTGCAAGCGTTCGTAAGTTCACATGCCAGGAACTGCAGCGTCTCTCTCTCTCTCTCCCCACCTACCCACCCACCGGAGGGTTTCTGCTGCAGCCACCCTGCGGGGTTGATGTAACGTGTGAAAAGAGGACGGGGAAAACTTCGGGCGGGAAGGGAAAAGCCGAAGGAAAAGGACGCAAAGGGCTACCGAGAAGGGCAGGGCGACGTGCAGCGCCGGGCACCCGGCAAGTTTCCTCTCCCGGCGCAGCTCAGATCCAAAGGGGAAAGTCCGCGGCCCGGATCGGTCGGAGAAGAGAGAGAAGAAAGAAGAAGGAGGGAAGGAAGGAGGGAAGGAGGGAGGGAGGGAAGTGTAGAAGAAGAAGAGGGGTAAGGAAAAGGAGGAGAGGGGGAAAGAAAGGGAAGCGGGGCCAGTAGTCCGAAGCCTGGCCAGATGTGGCCAGAAAGGGGACATCTCTCGGGGAAAGGCGGGGGGGGGGGGAGATTTCCAAAAGAGACCG